CTGTGTGTGTGTGTGTTCTAGGTGTGTGTATGACTGTGTGTGTGGACTGTGTGTGTGACTGTGTGTAATGACACTGTGTGTGTGTTCTAGGTGTGTATGACTGTGTGTGTGTGTGTGTAACTACTGTGTGACACTGTGTGTGTGTTCTAGGTGTGTATGTGTGTGACTGTGTATGACTGTGTGTGTTGTGTTCTAGGTGTGTATGTGTTCTAGGTGTGTATGTGACTGTGTGTGTGTGTTCTAGGTGTGTGACTGTGTGTGTGTGTGTGTGACTGTGTGTGACACTGTGTGTGTTCTAGGTGTGTATGTGACTGTGTGTGTGTGTGACTGTATGACTGTGTGTGTGTGTGACTGTGTTCTAGGTGTGTATGTGTGTACACTGTGTGTGTATGACTGTGTGTGTGACTGTGACACTGTGTGTGACTGTGTTCTAGGTGTGTATGACTGTGTGTGTGTGTGACTGTGTGTGTGTGTGACACGTGTGGTGGTGTTCTAGGTGTGTATGTCACTGTGTGTGTGTGTGACTGTGTGTGGTGTGTGTGTGACACTGTGTGTGTGTGTTCTAGGTGTGTATGTGTGTACACTGTGTGTGTATGACTGTGTGACTGTGTGTGTGACTGTGTGTGTGTGTGTGTAACTACTGTGTGTGTTCTAGGTGTGTATGACTGTGTGTACACTGTGACACTGTGTGTGTGTGTTCTAGGTGTGTATGTGACTGTGTGTCTGTGTGTGTGTGTAGTGTGACTGTGTGTGTGTGTTCTAGGTGTGTATGACTGTGTGACACTGTGTGTGTGTGTTCTAGGTGTGTATGACTGTGTGTGTGTGTGTTCTAGGTGTGTATGTGTGTATGACTGTGTGTGTGTGTTCTAGGTGTGTATGACTGTGTGTGACTGTGTGTGTGTTCTAGGTGTGTATGACTGTGTGTGTGTGTGTGTGTTCTAGGTGTGTATGTGTGTGTGTGTTCTAGGTGTGTGTGTGTGTGTGTTCTAGGTGTGTATGTGTGTACACTGTGTGTGTATGACTGTGTGTGTGTGACTGTATGACTGTGTGTGACTGTGTGACTGTGTGTGTGTGTGTTCTAGGTGTGTGACTGTGTGTGACTGTGTGTGTGTGTGTGTGTGTATAACTGTGTGACTGTGTGTGACACTGTGTGTGTGTGTATGACTGTATGACTGTGTGTATGTGACTGTGTGTGTGTGTTCTAGGTGTGTATGACTGTGTGTGTGTGTGTGACTGTGTGTGTGTGTTCTAGGTGTGTATGACTGTGTGTGTGTGTGTGACTGTGTGTGTGTGTTCTAGGTGTGTATGACTGTGTGTGTGACTGTGTGTGTGTGACTGTGTGTGTGTGACACTGTGTGTGTGTTCTAGGTGTGTATGACTGTGTGTGTGTGTGTGACTGTGTGTGTGTGTTCTAGGTGTGTATGACTGTGACACTGTGTGTGTTCTAGGTGTGTATGACTGTGACACTGTGTTTGTGTGTGTTCTAGGTGTGTATGTGTGTCTGACTGTGTGTGTGTGTATGACTGTGTGTGTGTGTTCTAGGTTTGTGTGACTGTGACTGTGTGTGTGTGTTCTAGGTGTGTGTGTGTGTGACACTGTGTGTGTGTTCTAGTGTGTGTGTGTGTGACTGTGTGTGTGTGTGGTTCTAGGTGTGTATGACACTGTGTGTATGACTGTGTGTGTAGTTGTCTAGGGTGTATGACTGTGGACACTGTGTGACTGTGTTCTAGGTGTGTATGTGTGTGTGTGTACACTGTGTGTGTGTGTGACACTGTGTGTGTGTGTTCTAGGTGTGTATGTGTGTGTGTGTACACTGTGTGTGTGGTGACACTGTTGTGTGTGTGTGTTCTAGGTGTGTATGACTGTGTGTGTGTGTGTGTACACTGTGTGACTGTGTGACACTGTGTGTGTGTTCTAGGTGTGTATGTGTGTGTGTGTATGACTGTGACTGTGTGTATGTTCTAGGTGTGTATGACTGTGTGTGTGTGTATGACTGTGTGTGTGTGTGACTGTGTGACTGTGTGTGTGTGTGTGTTCTAGGTGTGTACACTGTGACTGTGTGTGTATGTGTGTGTGTGACTGTGTTCTAGGTGTGTATGTGTGTGTGTGTGACTGTGTGTGTGTGTGTGTTCTAGGTGTGTACACTGTGACACTGTGTATGTGTGTGTGTGTGTTCTAGGTGTGTATGTGTGTGACACTGTGTGTGTGTGTATGACTGTGTGTGTGTGTAAACTACTGTGTGTGACACTGTGTGTGTGTATGACTGTGACACTGGTGACTGTGTTCTAGGTGTGTATGTGTGTATGACTGTGACTGTGTGTGTGTTCTAGGTGTGTATGTGTGTGTGTGTGACTGTGTGTGTGTGTTCTAGGTGTTGTACACTGTGACACTGTGTATGTGTGTGTGTGTGTTCTAGGTGTGTTATGTGTGTGACTGTATGACTGTGTGTGTGTGACTGTGTGTGTGTGTGTGACTGTGTGTGTGTGTTCTAGGTGTGTGTGACACTGTGTGTGTGACTGTGTGACTGTGTTCTAGGTGTGTATGTGACTGTATGTGTATGACTGTGACTGTGTGTGTGTTCTAGGTGTGTATGACTGTGTGTATGACTGTGTGTGACTGTGTGTGTGTGTGTGTGTTCTAGGTGTGTATGTGTGTATAACTGTGTGTGTGTGTGTGTTCTAGGTGTGTATGTGTGTGACTGTATGACTGTATGACTGTGTGACTGTGTGTGTGTGTGACTGTGTGTGTGTGTAACTACTGTGTGTGACACTGTGTGTGTGTGTATGACTGTGACACTGTGTGACTGTGTTCTAGGTGTGTATGTGTGTATGACTGTTACTGTGTGTGTGTTCTAGGTGTGTGTGTGTGGACACTGTGTGTGTATGTGACTGTGTATGTGGTGTGTTATGACTGTGTGTGTTACACTGTGGGTATGACTGTGTATGACTGTGTGTGTGTGTGACACTGTGTGTGTGTGTGACACTGTGTGTGTGTGTGACACTGTGTGTGTGTGTGACACTGTGTGTGACTGTGTGTATGTGACTGTGTGACTGTGTGTGACACTGTGTGTGTGTTCTAGGTGTGTATGACTGTGTGTGTGTGTGTTCTAGGTGTGTATGACTGTGTGTGTGTGTGTGACTGTGTGTGTGTTCTAGGTGTGTATGACTGTGTTGACTGTGTGTGTGTTCTAGGTGTGTATGACTGTGTGTGTGTGTGTGACACTGTGTGTGTATGTGACTGTGTGACTGTGTGTGTTCTAGGTGTGTGTGTGACACTGTGACTGTGTGTGTATTGTGACTGTGTGACTGTGTGTGTGTTCTAGGTGTGTATGACTGTGACACTGTGTGTGACACTGTGTGACTGTGTTCTAGGTGTGTATGTGTGTACACTGTGTGACTGTGTGTGTATGACTGTATGACTGTGTGTGACTGTGTTCTAGGTGTGTATGTGACTGTGTGTGTGTGTGTGTGTTCTAGGTGTGTATGACTGTATGACTGTATGTGACACTGTGTTCTAGGTGTGTATGTGTGACTGTGTGTGTGTACACTGTGTGTGTGTGTTCTAGGTGTGTATGTGACACTGTGTGTGTTTCTAGGTGTGTATGTGTGTATGACTGTATGTGTGACTGTGTTCTAGGTGTGATGTGTGTATGACTGTATGTGTGACTTGTTCTAGGTGTGTATGACTGTGTGACACTGTGTATGACTGTGTTCTAGGTGTGTAGACTGTGTGTGTGTGTGACTGTGACTGTATGACTGTGTGTATGACTGTGTTCTAGGTGTGTATGACGTGACACTGTGTATGTGTATGACTGTATGTGTGACTGTGTTTAGGTGTGTATGACTGTGTGTGTGTGGACTGTGACTGTATGTGTGACTGTGTCTAGGTGTGTATGACTGTGTGTGTGACTGTGTGTATGTGACTGTGACTGTGTGTGTGTGTTCTAGGTGTTGTATGTGTGTGTGTACACTGTATGACTGTGTTCTAGGTGTGTATGACTGTGTGTGTGTGCTGTGTGTGTGTGTGGTAACTACTGTGTGTGACACTGTGTGTGTGTTCTAGGTGTGTATGTGACACTGTGTGTGTGTGTGTGACTGTGTGTGTGTGTTCTAGGTGTGTAACTGTGTGTGTGTGTGTATGACTGTGTGTATGTGTGTGTGTGTACACTGTGTGTGTGTTCTAGGTGTGTATGTGTGTACACTGTGTGTATGACTGTGTGACACTGTGTGACTGTGTTCTAGGTGTGTATGACTGTGTATGTGTGACTGTGTTCTAGGTGTGTACACTGTGACACTGTGTGTATGTGACTGTGTGTGTGTTCTAGGTGTGTATGTGTGTATGTGTATGACTGTATGTGTGACTGTGTTCTAGGTGTGTATGTGTGTATGACTGTATGTGTGACTGTGTTCTAGGTGTGTATGTGACACTGTGTGTGTGTACACTGTGTGACTGTGTGTAACTACTGTGTGTGTTCTAGGTGTGTATGTGTGTACACTGTGTGACTGTGTGTGTGTGTGTTCTAGGTGTGTATGTGTGTACACTGTGTGACTGTGTGTGTGTGACTGTGTGTGTGTGTGTGTGTGTGTGACTGTGTGTGACTGTGTGTGTGTTCTAGGTGTGTATGTGTGTACACTGTGTGACTGTGTGTATGACTGTGACACTGTGTGTGTGTGTGACTGTGTTCTAGGTGTGTATGTGTGTATGACTGTGTGTGACTGTGTTCTAGGTGTGTATGACTGTGACACTGTGTGTGTGTGTGACTGTGTTCTAGGTGTGTATGTGTGTATGACTGTATGTGTGACTGTGTTCTAGGTGTGTATGACTGTGTGTGTATACTGTGTGTGTGTGACTGTGTTCTAGGTGTGTAGGTGTGTATGACTGTGTGTGTGTGTGACTGTGTTCTAGGTGTGTATGACTGTATGTGTGACTGTGTTCTAGGTGTGTATGACTGTGTGTGTATGTGTGTACACTGTGTGTGACACTGTGTGACTGTGTTCTAGGTGTGTATGCCCTCCGGCCTGTGCCGTCAGTTCCCCGACAACAGCCTGCAGCTGATGGTGCAGTCCGGGGCCAAAGGGTCCACGGTGAACACCATGCAGGTGAGACTCACAAGGGTCCGCGGTAACACAGTGCAGGTGAGACTCACAAGGGTCCACGGTGAACACAGTGCAGATGACACTCACAAGGGTCCACGGTAAACACCACGCAGGTGAGACTCACAAGGGTCCGCGGTAAACACCATGCAGGTGACACTCACAAGGGTCCGCGGTGAACACCATGCAGGTGACACTCACAAGGGTCCGCGGTAAACACCATGCAGGTGACACTCACAAGGGTCCACGGTGAACACAGTGCAGGTGAGACTCACAAGGGTCCACGGTGAACACAATGCAGGTGAGACTCACAAGGGTCCGCGGTAAACACCATGCAGGTGACACTCACAAGGGTCCACGGTAAACACAATGCAGGTGACACAAGGGTCCACGGTGAACACAATGCAGGTGACACTCGCAAGGGTCCACGGTAAACACAATGCAGGTGACACGCACAAGGGTCCGCGGTAAACACCATGCAGGTGACACAAGGGTCCACAGTGAACACCATGCAGGTGACACTCGCAAGGGTCCACGGTAAACACCATGCAGGTGACACTCACAAGGGTCCGCGGTAAACACAGTGCAGGTGACACAAGGGTCTCACTCACCGTGTCTCTCCGTGTCTCACCGTGTCTCACTGTGTCTCTCTGTGTCTCTCTGTGTCTCCGTGTCTCACCGTGTCTCACCGTGTCTCTCTGTGTCTCCGTGTCTCACCGTGTCTCACCGTGTCTCTCTGTGTCTCTCTGTGTCTCCGTGTCTCACCGTGTCTCACCGTGTATCTCTGTGTCTCACCGTGTCTCCCCGTGTCTCACCGTGTCTCTGTGTCTCTCTCTCCCCGTGTCTCCCCGTGTCTCCCCCCCCGTGTCTCCCCGTGTCTCACCGTGTCTCACTGTGTCTCCGTGTCTCTGTGTCTCTCTCTCCCTCTCTCCCCGTGTCTCCCGTGTCTCCCCCGTGTCTCCCCCCGTGTCTCCCCCCGTGTCTCCCCGTGTGTCTCCCCCGTGTCTCTCCCCATGTCTCTGCCCGTGTCTCACCGTGTCTCCGTGTCTCTGTGTCTCTCTCTCCCCGTGTGTCTCCCCATGTCTCCCCGTGTGTCTCTCCCCCGTGTGTCTCCCCGTGTCTCCCCGTGTCTCCGTGTCTCTGTGTCTCTCTCTCCCCATGTCTCCCCGTGTCTCCCCGTGTCTCTGTGTCTCACTGTGCGTGTCTCACCGTGTCTCCCCGTGTCTCCCCGTGTCTCTCCGTGTCTCCCCGTGTCTCCCCCCCCCCCCCGTGTCTCCCCGTGTCTCTCCGTGTCTCACTGTGTCTCCCCGTGTCTCACCGTGCGTGTCTCCCCGTGTCTCCGTGTCTCTCTCTCCCCATGTCTCCCCGTGTCTCCCCGTGTCTCCCGTGTCTCCCGTGTCTCTCTCCTCCCCGTGTGTCTCCCCGTGTCTCCCCGTGTCTCCCGTGTCTCCCCGTATCTCTCCCCGTGTCTCTCCCCGTGTCTCCCCGTGTCTCCCCGTGTCTCCCCGTGTCTCTCTCCTCCCCGTGTCTCCCGTGTCTCACCGTGTCTCACCGTGTCTCTCCGTGTCTCCCCGTGTCTCCCCATGTCTCCCCGTGTCTCCCGTGTCTCACCGTGTCTCACCGTGTCTCTCCGTGTCTCCCCGTGTCTCACCGTGTCTCCCCGTGTCTCACCGTGTCTCCCCGTGTCTCACCGTGTCTCCCCGTGTCTCACCGTGTCTCTCCGTGTCTCCCCCGTGTCTCACCGTGTCTCACCGTGTCTCCCCGTGTCTCTCCGTGTCTCCCCGTGTCTCCCCGTGTCTCCCCGTGTCTCCCCGTGTCTCCCCGTGTCTCTGTGTCTCCCCGTGTCTCCCCGTGTCTCCCCTGTCTCACCGTGTCTCCCCGTGTCTCACCATGTCTCTGTGTCTCTCTCTCCCCGTGTCTCACCGTGTCTCTCCATGTCTCTGTGTCTCTCTCTCCCCGTGTCTCACCGTGTCTCCCCGTGTCTCCCCGTGTCTCTCCGTGTCTCCGTGTCTCTCTCTCCCCATGTCTCCCCGTGTCTCCTCCCCGTGTCTCTCTCCCCTCCCCGCGTGTCTCCCCGTAGATCTCCTGCCTCCTGGGACAGATTGACCTGGAAGGTCGCCGCCCTCCGCTGATGCCCTCCGGCCGTTCCGTGCCGTCCTTCACGCCGTACGACCCCACAGCAAGGGCCGGAGGCTTTGTCTCTTCACGCTTCCTCACTGGCATCGAGCCTCCGGTACACTCAGTGTCACGTGTGTGTGTCACGTGTGTGTGTCACGTGTGTGTGTGTCACGTGTGTGTGTCACTGTGTGCCGTCCTTCACGCCGTACGACCCCACAGCAAGGGCCGGAGGCTTTGTCTCTTCACGCTTCCTCACTGGCATCGAGCCTCCGGTACACTCACTCACAGTTGTGTCACGTGTGTGTGTGTCACGTGTGTGTGTGTCACGTGTGTGTGTGTGTCACGTGTGTGTGTGTCACGTGTGTGTGTGTGTGTCACGTGTGTGTGTGTGTCACGTGTGTGTCACTGTGTGACGTCCTTCACGCCGTACGACCCCACAGCAAGGGCCGGAGGCTTTGTCTCTTCACGCTTCCTCACTGGCATCGAGCCTCCGGTACACTCAGTGTCACGTGTGTGTGTCACGTGTGTGTGTCACGTGTGTGTGTGTCACGTGTGTGTGTGTCACGTGTGTGTGTGTGTCACGTGTGTGTGTGTCACGTGTGTGTGTCACGTGTGTGTGTCACGTGTGTGTGTCACTGTGTGACGTCCTTCACGCCGTACGACCCCACAGCAAGGGCCGGAGGCTTTGTCTCTTCACGCTTCCTCACTGGGATCGAGCCTCCGGTACACTCAGTGTCACGTGTGTGTGTCACGTGTGTGTGTGTGTCACGTGTGCGTGTGTCACGTGTGTGTGAGTGTCACGTGTGTGTCACTGTGTGACGTCCTTCACGCCGTACGACCCCACAGCAAGGGCCGGAGGCTTTGTCTCTTCACGCTTCCTCACTGGAATCGAGCCTCCGGTACTCACTCACAGTGTGTGTGTGTCACGTGTGTGTGTGTGTCACGTGTGTGTGTGTCACGTGTGTGTGTCACGTGTGTGTGTCACGTGTGTGTGTGTGTCACGTGTGTGTGTCACTGTGTGACGTCCTTCACGCCGTACGACCCCACAGCAAGGGCCGGAGGCTTTGTCTCTTCACGCTTCCTCACTGGAATCGAGCCTCCGGTACACTCTCACAGTGTGTGTGTCACGTGTGTGTGTGTGTCACGTGTGTGTGTGTCACGTGTGTGTGAGTGTCACGTGTGTGTCACTGTGTGACGTCCTTCACGCCGTACGACCCCACAGCAAGGGCCGGAGGCTTTGTCTCTTCACGCTTCCTCACTGGGATCGAGCCTCCGGTACACTCAGTGTCACGTGTGTGTGTCACGTGAGTGTGTGTGTCACGTGTGTGTGTGTCACGTGTGTGTGTGTCACGTGTGTGTGTGTCACGTGTGTGTCACTGTGTGACGTCCTTCACGCCGTACGACCCCACAGCAAGGGCCGGAGGCTTTGTCTCTTCACGCTTCCTCACTGGAATCGAGCCTCCGGTACACTCACTCACAGTGTGTGTCACGTGTGTGTGTGTCACGTGTGTGTGTGTCACGTGTGTGAGTGTCACTGTGTGACGTCCTTCACGCCGTACGACCCCACAGCAAGGGCCGGAGGCTTTGTCTCTTCACGCTTCCTCACTGGCATCGAGCCTCCGGTACTCACTCACACAGTGTGTGTGTGTCACGTGTGTGTGTGTCACGTGTGTGTGTGTCACGTGTGTGTGTGTCACGTGAGTGTCCTGTGTGACGTCCTTCACGCCGTACGACCCCACAGCAAGGGCCGGAGGCTTTGTCTCTTCACGCTTCCTCACTGGGATCGAGCCTCCGGTACTCACAGTGTCACGTGTGTGTGTGTGTGTCACGTGTGTGTGTGTGTCACGTGTGTGTGTGCCACGTGAGTGTCACGTGTGTGTGTGTGTCACGTGTGTGTGTGTGTCACTGTGTGTGTGTCACTGTGTGTGTGTCACTGTGTGTGTGTCACGTGTGTGTGTGTCACGTGTGTGTGTGTCACGTGAGTGTGTGTCACTGTGTGTGTCACTGTGTGTGTGTCACTGTGTGTGTGTGTCACGTGTGTGTGTCACGTGTGTGTGTGTGTGTGTCACGTGTGTGTGTGTCACGTGTGTGTCACTGTGTGTGTGTGTCACGTGTGTGTGTGTCACGTGTGTGTGTCACGTGTGTGTGTGTCACGTGTGTCACGTGTGTGTGTGTGTCATGTGTGTGTGTGTGTCACGTGTGTGTGTGTCACGTGTGTGTGTGTGTCACGTGTGTGTGTGTGTCACGTGTGTGTGTGTGTCACGTGTGTGTCACTGTGTGTGTGTGTGTCACTGTGTGTGTGTCACTGTGTGTGTGTACACTGTGTGTGTGTGCCACTGTGTTGTGTGTCACTGTGTGTGTGTACACTGTGTGTGTGTCACTGTGTGTGTGTGTACACTGTGTGTGTGTGTCACTGTGTGTGTGTCACTGTGTGTGTGTCACTGTGTGTGTGTGTACAGGAATATTTCTTTCACTGCATGGCTGGGCGTGAGGGGCTGGTGGACACGGCGGTCAAAACCTCCAGGTCGGGGTACCTGCAGAGGTGGGTGGGGGGTGGGTGAGTGGGTGAGTGGGTGGGTGGGTGAGTGAGTGAGTTAGTGGTGAGTGGGTGAGTGGTGAGTGGTGAGTGGGTGAGTGAGTGGGTGAGTGGGTGGGTGGGTGGGTGAGTGAGTGGGTGGGTGGGTGAGTGAGTGGGTGAGTGAGTGGGGGGTGAGTGGGTGGGTAATGAGTGAGTGGGTGAGTGAGTGGGTGAGTGGGTGGGTGGGTGGGTGAGTGAGTCGGTGGGTGAGTGAGTGAGTGAGTGGGTGACTGAGTGGATAAGTGGGTGGTGAGTGAGTGGGTGAGTGGATGGGTGAGTGGGTGGGTGGGTGAGTGAGTGGGTGAGTGGGTGATTGAGTGAGTGAGTGGGTGGGTGGATGAGTGAGTCGGTGGGTGAGTGAGTGAGTGAGTGGGTGAGTGAGTGGATAAGTGGGTGGGTGAGTGAGTGGGTGAGTGGATGGGTGAGTCGGTGGGTGAGTGATGAGTGAGTGGGTGAGTGAGTGGGTGAGTGGGTGAGTGGGTGGGTGAGTGAGTGAGTGGGTGAGTGGGTGAGTGGGTGGGTGGGTGAGTGAGTGGGTGAGTGGGTGGGTGAGTGAGTGAGTGAGTGGGTGAGTTGTTGGGTGAGTGGGTGAGTGAGTGGGTGGGTAAGTGAGTGAGTGGGTGGGTGAGTGAGTGGGTGAGTGGGTGGGTGGGTGGGTGAGTGGGTGGTGAGTGAGTGAGTGGGTGGGTGAGTGATTGAGTTAGTGGTGAGTGGGTGAGTGGTGAGTGGGTGAGTGAGTGGGTGGGTGAGTGAGTGGGTGGGAGAGTGAGTGGGTGGGTGAATGAGTGGGTGGGTGAGTGAGTGCCTGACTGACTGAGTGCCTGACTGACTGAGTGTCTGACTGACTAAATGCCTGACTGACTGATTGACTGACTGAGTGCCTGACTGACTATTTGACTGACTGAGTGCCTGACTGACTATTTGACTGACTGAGTGCCTGACTAACTGAGTGACTGACTGACTGACTGAGTGAGTGACTGATTGACTAACTGACTGAGTGCCTGACTGACTGATTAACTGACTGACTGATTGACTGACTAACTGATTGACTGACTGACTAACTGATTGACTAACCGAGTGAGTGACTAACTGACTGAGTGACTGACTGAGTGCCTGACTAACTGAGTGACTGACTGACTGAGTGACTGACTGACTGAGTGCCTGATTGACTGACTGACTATGTGACTGACTGAGTGCCTGACTGACTGAGTGACTGACTTAGTGCCTGACTGACTGAGTGCCTGACTGACTGAGTGACTGACTGACTGAGTGCCTGCCTAACTGACTGACTGACTGACTGAGTGACTGACTGACTATTTGACTGACTATTTGACTGAGTGCCTGACTGACTGAGTGCCTGACTAAATGATTGGCTGACTGACTGATTGACTGAGTGACTGACTGACTGACTGACTGACTGAGTGACTGACTGACTGACTGAGTGACTGAGTAACTGAGTGACTGAGTGACTGACTGACTGAGTGACTGACTGACTGAGTAACTGAGTGACTGACTGACTGAGTGACTGACTGAGTGACTGAGTGCCTGACTGACTGAGTGCCTGACTGAGTGACTGACTGACTGAGTGACTGACTGAGTGACTGACTAACTGATTGACTGACTGAGTGAGTGACTGACTGAGTGACTGACTAAGTGAGTGACTGACTGACTGATTGACTGACTGACTGAGTGACTGACTGAGTGCCTGACTGACTGACTGACTGAGTGACTGACTGAGTGACTGACTGACTGAGTGACTGACTGACTGAGTGACTGACTGAGTGACTGACTGACTGAGTGACTGAGTGAGTGACTGAGTGACTGACTGACTGACTGAGTGACTGACTGACTGAGTGACTGACTGAGTGACTGAGTGACTGACTGAGTGACTGACTGAGTGACTGACTGAGTGACTGACTGAGTGACTAACTGAGTGACTGACTCCCACGCCAGGTGCCTGATCAAGCACCTCGAGGGCCTAGTGGTACAGTACGACCTCACTGTACGGGACAGCGATGGCAGTGTAGTGCAGTTCCTCTACGGAGAGGATGGCCAGGATATCTCTCGATCACAGTTCCTCCACAAGGCTCAGTTTCCCTTCCTAGCACGCAACCACGAGGTGAGGCTCTCGCTCACCACGCTCACTCGCCTACTCACTCAGCTACTCACTCAGCTACTCACTCACTCAGCTACTCACTCAGCTACTCACTCAGCCAGCTACTCACTCAGCCAGCCACTCACTCAGCTACTCACTCAGCCACTCACTCAGCCAGCCACTCACTCACTCACTCAGCCACTCACTCAGCCAGCTACTCACTCACTCAGCCAGCTACTCACTCTGCTACTCACTCAGCCAGCCTCACTCACTCACTCAGCCACTCACTCACTCACTCAGCCAGCAACTCACTCACTCCGCCAGCCACTCACTCAGCTACTCACTCACTCAGCCAGCAACTCAATCACTCAGCCAGCCACTCACTCATTCACTCAGCCAGCCACTCACTCAGCCAGCTACTCACTCACTCAGCCACTCACTCAGCTACTCACTCACTCAGCCAGCTACTCACTCACTCAGCCAGCCACTCACTCTTTCAGCCAGCCACTCACTCAGCTACTCACTCACTCAGCTACTCACTCACTCAGCCAGCCAGCCACTCACTCGCCTACTCGCTCAGTCAGCTACTCACTCAGCTACTCACTCACTCAGCCAG